AAACTTGTGAGAGTATTCAAGGTAAATGCAACTAAGACATATAAAATATATAGACTGTTCTCCCTGCTGCCCTCATCCGATGCAGGTCCAGAAGATTCCCAAACAGCTTCTTCCCCACCGCCATCTGATTGCTGAACTGTTGTGAAAACTCTTAATCATGTCACAGACTCTGTATCACACTGATAACACCAAAACGAAACACTGCATACTTGCACCATATATACGTATCTAATGCTCTGAACTTCCATATCAACGCGTTTTTTGTTGGGTTTTTTTGCACCATGTTTTTTTCTCCCACACTGTGTGCATTTCATCACTGCTGTACTTTAAGGAATGGAAATGTTATGAGTATGTGTATAGAAAATGACAATAAAAGGTGTCTAAGTCTAAAATGTTTTACAAGAAAATGTTAAAACATGTCAAATCAGTCCCTGTTGGAATCATGCAATAGGTTGAAGACCGGGAAGTAAAAGTACATTTTTAAAACTTTAAGTAAATCCAGATGATAAATTGCAGAGTGCACTACATGAACTCATCAAAATAATCTGGTTCATATCTGAGGGAACAAGAAAGTTCATAAGGGGCAAGCTGCTCATTTACAGAACGTGTGAAAGAGAAGGTCAAGATAGCATTATAATTATGATCTATTGAGGTTAAGGAGCAATGATTGATGGTCTGCAGGTAGCTTTTTTACAGAACAGTCCTATTTGTGGACAGATGCCGAATGTTAAGAGTAGTAGCAGCTTATTTTACTGTCAAGTTTCAAGTTAGGATACAATTAGATGCCTGTTTTATAGTTAGGGTTAAAATATGATCCCAGGGAGGGCAGATGAATGCAATTGATCCAGCAGTTTCTATTAGGTCTACACCTCTGTCTTCCTCCTGTTCAGTTAAATAAGAGGCAAACATTAGGCGCTTAATGCGCAGATCTGGATGGATTTTCTTCCAAACTCTTCAGAGGTAAGTATTTTTTTTACAATATACGGTAGAAGTTGCTATTTCCAGATCAGACCAGTCATTGAGAAGCTAACACCATTCATCTCCCCGAACAGTCCATTTCAACCATGATGCATGGTAGTATACAGGGTCTTTTGGAAGACTGCTTTGATGGCTGATTGTCATTTATGTTTGGTAACCGACCCTTCCAGACTTTCGGTTTACAAGTTACTTATTTTTGTTACTGTAAAGAGCTAAATGTAGGTCAACAATGGATGGAAACCTGTTGAAGACTGCAAAAAACCTACGACTGGTCCACAGGTTCACATTCCAGCAGGAAAAAACAAAAACTTACTAAGAGTTTAAGGAGTAAATCTGGTTGAGAAATGTAATTAAGAACTGTGAAAAAAGACTTGAACAAATGTGATCACAGGCACTATGTAGTCTGAATGAGGTATGAGGAATGAGTTATTTAGCAAAGCAACCATTTCTGACTAGGGAATGTGAACACAAAGCCATACTTATCAAATCTTTTTAAGCAAGCAACATTTGAAAATGATGTATTCCTTTTCAAATTTCAGTTTTAAAGTTATTCACTTCAAGGGATATACATGTTTGTATTCTGACTTTTGTAATCTTAGTTTGTTCCTGTTATAGCTCTGGCAAACACATTAAAAAAGGTCCTAAAATCTATGTTTTTCATTGCCAGAGACAATGTAATATTTCATCCAAATGAATTTGATATGTGTTGTACTTAATAAGTCATGAAACAGCTGCAATAAAATAGCTACTGAATATTTCCACAGCAACAGTGCAATAATTTAGCATAAAAGCAACTGAAATAGTGAAAAACTACAGAAGGCTGCACAAAAATCCACATTTTATTTTTTAAATCTACAGTAAGGAAGATGTTTAAGAAAATAGATAAAATAAAATTAAGAAATACCCAAAGCTTTAAAAGCTTCAGTAAAATGATTTGTTTGAGAAATTATGCACCAGAATTTGTTTCTTTCTGTATTTTTCATTAAGGTTAATAGGGTGGGATATATATTTTTGTGCACACTATAAGTGTTAGGATTCCAGTTTGTGTGGGTTTTTTGTGTGTTTTCTTTTGTTCTCCCTTTTCACCACTAGATGGTGATCTCTGCTTGTTTGGGCCTTTTCGCACACCTGCGGCTCGTTGGGTCATCACCAGAGGAGTATTTGAGCAGTGGGCTGTCACTACCTCGAGGCCAGAGTGTTTGCCAGTATTGGGTACTCTAGCCAAACTGAGATTAGCAGAGTCTAATTATTACCTTGTCTCTCTGAGTCTAAGCTTTGTCTTTGTTCTCCGGTAGGATGCCTTCCTGATCCACTGGATAAGCCCGGACCTTCTACCCCCTTGGAAGGAATTATTTGAGTCACATTGAGCAAGGGGAAACCTCCACCAGATCCGTTCAAGTCTGCTTCAGGAAAACCAGGTGACAGTCCGCTCCATGCTCCTCTGGACCCCACGCTAGTCTGCCTATCTGCCCTCCAACAAGTTCATTCATCTCTGGATAAAACCCCACAAACTGGATCCTAAGGAAAACCAAGAGCCCCCCAAACAGGTTCCGGTTCACCAGTCCGCTGAGGTTCAACTGAGTTTATCCTGCTGTATAACCTCTCACTCTGTTTGTTAACCTACAAATAAACCAGTTAACTTCAACACTTGGTTTTCTAAGTGTGTCTCTGCATGTGGGTTAGAACCTTAAAGCCCATCATGACAATAAGTTTTTAATAATATCATGTTATTTACAAATAGGATATAAATACTGCTTTATTTAAATATTTTAGTTTGTTGTTTTTATCTTTGGATGTTACTTGTACTTCATTAGTAAAATTAATCTGCAATTTATCCCAATTAATAAAAATTGCACTGATGTTTTATAATCCAACAGCCAAGAATGAAAACATATAGTTCTTTAGTTTTTATTGAATATCAGTATTACGCGTGGAGCATGATACTTTTCAGCCTGCGTGTTTAACGAAGGTCTTTAAACGTCATTGTTTTTATTTTTGAACAGTGCTTTTCACCTCGGAAAAGAGAGAGGGAGCGACTTTGCACCTTGTCTGAAAGCAGGTGTCGAACGAGTGCACAGATGTGTGACGTCTCAGCGAAGATGTGAACTGTACTGACTCATGCCGTGCTGCAGAGTCTGCCTCCTGCATTCACAGCTATATAAATAGTCTCCAGTTTAATATCAGTTGGTAAGTAGAAAAATGGCAGAGTTGTATGAATATAAGATCCCCTACAGAAAGGGTATTAGATGTTGTAGAACAAAATATATATATATATATTTTTTTTTTTTAAGAAAACATCCATGGAGCTGAGATATAAAGGAGTTTGTGTTACTCAGGATTCAGTTGTTACTAGTATACTGCCTGTAAAGGTAGTCTACACTCCTTTAATATACACAAGTACTAACTTAAGTACTCCAATGAGATGAGTTCTTCTTTAAAATACTATTACCAAGTTTATCATAGTCTTTTTAGCCATGCAGTGAAAACATTTATCGGATTTGCTGATTTGGACGGCACTTCTGCCAACGTATTAGAGAAGAATGACATAAAATTACAAATGCTTTATTTAATAGATTTGCTGTTTTATGTGCTTAAACAGTCACACCTCAATCTTAGTTAAAGGCATAGTGCAGGATGTTGATCATCAAAATAAGTGGTCCTCCTTATTGTCTATCATTCTGGTGATATGTTTAAGGTCCTCCTGCGTGCTCGTCCCCATTTTCACTTACCAGTGATGAGTGTGACATAGTGGAACATTTGCAAATCTTCTTTTGGAAAGTAAGCTTGTGCAAACAGCAACTTTTAACCAAACTGGAGAAATGGACTTGTGCATGCTCTCGCATGCGTTTAATAGGCATTCCCTCTCGGAAGCGGGTACAGGGTTCTGCATATGAATTTTTTTTTAAGTGGAGAGGTCACATTGTCACATGCTTTTAACCTAATTTGAGGTTAAAAGCTTTGAAAGGGATGTGAAGCAAGCCATTTATGTTGAGAAAAAAAAAACCTTAAAAAGAGTGGGTGGACTCAGGTTTCAGCTCTCGAAAACCTACAATGCAGCAATAGAGCTGATCCCTTCCCACTATTATCTCAACCCCCATCGCTATGCAGGGGACCAAAACATCTCACCTGGTCAGCCAGGCCAATATTGACCCAACGACTCTCATTACTAAGGGCGGATCTGTTCTTGCAGTTCAATGTGAATGTTTTCTAAAACTAAACAAGTCTTTGCTGGGCTACTCTATAAAGCTTGGAACTCAACGCTAATCCAGACATTTTGAATTGAAAGAGCTTCCTGGATGGGAAGCAAAACAACTTCAGACTTGTAAAACAAAGTCCAGAGATTTGTTTTTTAATTTTTTTTGGAATGACTATAACCTGGATGACTTAGTATCTTCACCAGCGTTTTAACCTCATTCCTCCTCTATACTTTCATCATAATCAATCCTATCTCTCTCATGTCTAATCTTTCTCATTGGTTTTAGCTTTTAATTTTTACTTCTTTTATCCCTTTTCTGTCCTTCCTACCTTGTTCTTTCCTCATCTCTTGTCCCCTTCTCCTTGTTTCTATTATCCCTACATCCTTTATCTTTTACTCCTACTTCTCGCACCCCTTTTCCAGCCTGATTTACCCCAAACTCCTACCACTTTAATCTCTTTCCTCATCCCTATTTCTTTCATTCACATATTCATCTCTTATCCCTCAGTACTACCGCCTTTATTCAACACCATTCCCTCCATACTCTTAACATCTTTTCTTGCATCCTCATCCTTTTCATCTTCCCTATCATTCCTCACTCCTACCCTTAACAATCATCATACCATCTGCAATCCAACAGTTTTGAAATTATGTATTAGTAGCTTACAGTAGTTATATAAGACTATAAAATGAACATTAGATTACATAAATCATGACGCAGAATCTGTTGCATTGTGCTCTGTCTCCCAACATACAGGGCATTTAAACAGTAAACCTTTTGGAACCAAACAATTTATTAGTCATGAATTTAAAATCTGACTGACAGACATTTTCATCCCAAATGATGGAAAATCACTCAACCAAAGCCTGCTCCAATTTTATCCATCATTACCCTCTTCACCCCTCCCATTAGGGTCGTTTTCTTACATGGTATTTGCAGCATGCAAGTCCAAATCATTCACATGATCTGAGCCGGTTTAAAATAAGGGCTTGGCAGCAGCACGCTACACGTGTCCACGCCCCTTCCAAACACCTGTATATTTACAGATGTTAGCATCTGCTGCAAGTGCCCTGGTTTGACGATTTAATTCTAGAGGAGCAGCCAGATGGTGGGACAAGAGGATTACCAAGCTAAGCCTTTGTCATCTGCTGCTTCACATCGAATAGTTTATGGGGAAACGGGCTACAGGGTGGACCCCTGATGGTTGAAAAGTCTGGCACAAGCAGAGGGGAGTGTGGATAACAAATGTCAAAACAAGCAGGCATTTAACTCTAAGAGTACTTGGCAGCAGTAGGGGGTTAAGAAGGAAACTGCGGGAGATGAGACACCGAAGGTCATCAGAATGTCTAACAAGTTTTTTTTTTTTCATATTAGGAAAATTTGCACAATTAGATACTGACTAAATACTTTTTTGCCCGATGACATGTAATTCTAGCCTGTGTTTACATGAAGTACAGGATTATACGAGTATGGGTGAATGGATTTTTGTTTCTTAGAGGGTTGTGAGTACTTTATCATGTTGAGGTGCATAGTCGTTAGAGTGGATGAAATGGTAGAAGACCTGCAGCACACAGCATTCATCCGGTAGGCCACACCTGTCTAAGGGACACAGACACAAGCCATGATTTCAGGACTCCCATACGCAGGTCAGCGGTGAAGCAGTGAAGAAGCGCTCAGGCAACAAAAACACCAATGAGACATGGGGCCATGAACTCCCCCTTGAACAAACGTCTCCAACTTCTAAGCCCCCCCAGCAGCCCAGGGCCCACACCGGTGTCTAGCAGCAGCACTGCTCAGCACCAAGCTGGGGAGACCATCGCACAGCAGAGGCATAGAATCCAGGTCCAGAAGACAAACCCCTTCTGAAATTTCCTTCATCCTTTTTATTCTTTATTTAGTAACAGTTTAAAAAGTATGTCACATTTTTATATAAACTATATATACTGCTAATTTATATACACATTTAAAACTTTGCTGTGATAATAGGTTTTCTCTGTTTAATACTTGTAAATCTAATAAGAAATGGAAGTTTTGCCTTTTTTACTGTTTATTGGCAAAGTATGATGGATAGATATTGTGTTTTGTTCAATGTCTGTCTACCCACTGTGGTCTCTCCATTTCTAGTAACACTTGCATAATATTGCTGATGAAATTTAAATCATCATTTAATTGTGCATTCCAAAATAACTTGGCATATGTAATGTTTTAAACACACAGATTGATTATTTATTCATCTGCTAGGACATTTAACTGTGCATTTATTTAATGGGACACTCACAAATATTTATAAAATAATTTTTATTCATTAAACTTGATTTCGTCCAGGCCTCTGTACACCTGACTGGTCACATCAAAATTATTTCAAAGAACATTCTGGAACTCAGGACTTAAACAGCTCCCTTTGGGAAACACTGCTCTAGTGTAATGCAAGCCAATAACATTCACCATGTGATTTGTTTAAACATCACTTCAAAAATGATTTAATAACTGTTTATTTATTGCAGTTGAAAAAGCTTCATGTTATTCAGAAACATATACATTTATTTCCCCCAGTAATGACAGTGATAAAACAGTGAATGTTTAATCACAAACAAACGATGTGGAAGTATTTCAGTTGGCATGCAGTAGATCTGCTAAATTATATTTGAGGTTTGCCAGCAAAAATAAATAGAAAAACTATAGTACAAAAGCAGCGTGTCAACTTCCCTCTGACAGATTTAACAGATGCTTGCTCTCCCAGAAAAAAACAAATGTTTAATAATCAAGAAAGAGGTTCATCACAGGGTGTAATCAAATTACATGAATTTCTCTTCTTGATTTTATTGCCAACTGGCTGCACAGAGTGCCATTCCCAAATCCTTCCAAAGCTTTTAATATCAACTATCAGTCATAAGACTCAAAGGATAACACTTTTATGCTGACTGGAACCTTTGTTTAGCTCTATGGAAGCAAATAAAAGTGGAACAGACGTTTACTTCCTCTTGCCGCCACCGCCACCAGCTAGAATCATTACCAGCCTCATGAAAATGTTCAGCGTGTCCATGTAAATCCCCATACACCTGTTGGGCAAAACCACACATAAGATCCACATACAACACACGAGAAACTGAATAATACCGGCAATTACTTACGCATTTATGGGGTCGTATTTCTGTGCAGCGTACAGCGGGTGGGTCTCCGCTCTCTTCATAACCTTTTGTGTATCGTAAAGGAGGAACATGCTGAACAGAACTAGGCCTCCATAGACGGCAACAGAATACAAGCCTGCTCCAAATGCTGAGGTGGGTGGAAGGAACATTGACCCTGAACATAGGAGAGAGAAAAAAAAAGGTGGTGTCACTCAATTTTAAAAATGATCATTAAAACCTTGAGTTTTAAATCTGACTACTATTGCACATATGGGGCCTTGCTAAAGTATTCTACAGCTTGAGTAGGATAGTCTGCTGGCAAAGCCCCTTTAAATTTATACAAATTAGGTCTTTATGAAGGAATGTTTGACGTTACAAATTATGTTGTGTAATAGCATAACCCTGCCAAAGTCTAGACCTAAGTGTAATAGAAATCAAATGACAAGACTTCAAATCCGATGTATTGATAATTTGATTGTTTTAGTCTATGACATTAAATATTTAACCAAATATGAATTTCTTGAACAGAAACACTGTTCAGCCAGTTTGATTTGATTCTATCTACTTCTGCAATGACACAGATACAACATTTGCATTTAAAAGATAAAATAACTTGTTAAATCAGACTTAATGGAATAAAAGACACTTTGGTTAAAGAGTATAAACAGTATAAAAGTTGTCATTCCTTGATGTTGTTTACCCGAATCTGCAGATTTGATGTAGTTCATTAATAATTTCAATAGTAACACAAGGACTAAAAATGCTGCTTTCCATGAATGTTTTCTGAACAGGAGAAAAACTGCACCTCCTTCAAACTATTAGGCTCAGAACACTTCAACTGCCAACAAATGTAAGGTAACCTGCAGAATCTTACTTAGCATATTCTTAAAACACCAGCATAATTTTTTTATCTCTATTAAAGTGTTTGGATTTAAAAAAAATGTTTTTTACTGCTAAAACATGATCATAGATGATCAGGTTTTCCAGTATTTTAGGCTTTTAATATGAATCACCGCAGCACTTTATGCTTTGTACAATCTGTAACCTAAAGGTCTTAATATTTACTGTCTTACAGATGCCCTACACCTAATTATTAGTGTGAGAGATATTCAATATCTACTAACCAAGAGAGGAGGCGAATACCACTCCGAAGCCGACAGCAAGAGGTCCTCCCATGTTGAGGAACTTCTCACTTGGAGCACACATAGCCACAGTGGACAGGCCTCCAACAATGCCTGCAGTGTACCAGGCAGCCCTCATCATCAGAGGTCCTCCCAGCAGAGTTAATGGAGCAATGACAGCACCCATTACACCTAAAGAGATAAAAAAAATGAACCAAATAAACATCACAAAAAGCAGCACCTAGATAAACTGTTACTTGTGCGTCTACCACAGCAGATACATTAGTTCACTGGCTAAATGTTATATTTTCATTATTCTAGAAACTACAGAAAAGCTATTTGATAGTATTCTGCTAGATACCAACTAGATTTAGTTGGTGATAATAGTTTTGCTTAAGTCCATTTATTATATTAGAAATAAGTAACAAATATAGGTAACATCATAACTGTAATAATCTGTATGTTTATCATATGAGCAACAGTACAAGTATTATTGTTTTGTTTTAAACAAACCTAGACTAAGAGTTAGACTCAACTTTATTTATCCCTTGGGATTACTCCTTCAGGGAAATTGTGGTTCCTGTAGCTTATGTAGAGTACGAAGGGCAGAGTTAAACTAAGATGCCATTAAAGATAAAAATACAGACAATATAAAAAAAGTTCATAATAATATATTAAGTCAATTTTCAAATTCAAATAATTAGGGGAAAAAAATGTCTTGTTTTTTTTTTAATGTTTTTTAAAAGAATTTATTTATTATCTTTAAGCTGTACTGCCCTCCAGTGGTCAAACAATGCAACTGCATACAAAAAATAACAGGCTCTAAACAGGTTTAAACAGAACTACGTTTCTGTTTGAAAGATGGATAATAATGACGTAATGAATCTGATGGTGGCGAATCAATGTCGGAAATAAAAAAACGTTTTACTTTGGGTTTGCACCTCATTCCTTGCACCATCCCCACCTCACCAGACTTCAGTCTTTATAACAAATTGGGAAAGGGGGAGGTGACGTATGCCGTAAAGCAGTCTAAACATTTGTAGTCATTTTGTGTAGTAGGGTTACTGCCACCACCCTCTAAGTCGCTTAGTGCTGATGAAAGCGATGCAGACCCCCTCAGGCAATGACAAAGGTGTCATACAACTAGCTGTAACTAGTTAAAGCTAAAACAATATTTTATGGTTGAAAAGTTATTTAGTGTTGGTTTAAGGTTAAAATGATACTTAACATTTCTTTAACGTGATTGAGAACAACTACAGCCTTACATTAACCTACAGTATTTCTCAATCAAAGCCATTTAAACTTATCATAGACTGCCAGATAAAAAGCTCAGAAGAGACAAAAGCAAACAAGTTAGAGAAAAACACTCATTTTCAAAACGGGCTTGCATCATCTGAAAGACATCATGTAGCAAACCTGCATGCAGCATCCAAGCAAGGTGTTTGGGCACCGGGCTGTGCTCGTATGAAATGGACCGAACCAGCATCCCTGCTCCAATCATTGCTGCAAAAGTTGCTCCAATTGCCTAGAAATTTGAAGTAAGTTATCAAATTCAAATAAAAAAATTGGTTCCCAAACTAAAATGATCCAAAACGCTTAAACTAAACTCAGATCCAAAACTCACCAGCCAGGACCCCCTCATCATCAGACCCATCAATGCCGGGTTCCTGCTTACAGCTACAGCTGACAGAGCTGTCAGGCCAACGCTGCCAGCAAAGTACATATAGGTGGAATGGATTCTGTCTTTCACATATTGAGGCCAGATCCTAAATAAAAGGGAAAAATCAGCCTTAGGTGGAATTGAACTTAACTGGAAAGGTGTGATTTAAAATGGATATTGTCTACTCAAACTGTTTTGTTACTCACATTGATTTCTCTATGGCACCGATTTCATTGGACATGCCGAGACCGTAGTAGCAAAGAGCTCCAAGGCCCACCACTGCACCTCCCGCAAGAATCATCCTTCCCATGCTATCAACTAGCAGAGGACACAAAAACAATTTCACATACATGTTTAAAAGTGTAATCGTATTTCTAATATTACTTTTAAAATTATATAGTGAGTGTAAACCAACTACTTTTGATGGCTGTGTCGGTTGCTGGTTCAAAGGCTGCCTCTTTCAGCTGCTCCCTGCTGGTTTTTGCACGGCGGAATCCAAATCTGGCCTTTGAGGAATAGCCCTTTGGAGAAAAGAACAGGTTTGACCAAAAAAATTAATATAACTGTGGTTTTATATCTGAAAAACATCAGATTTTTTGCTTTTATGTAGCTGTATAGATGTTAATATTAAATCATTATGTTTCATGTCTCTAAATTGAGTCTTTTATCCAATATCTCCAACAACAGAGTTAATCATTTAACCCTGAAATACTTGCTGTAATGACAGTAGAAGTAAGGCTTTGCTGTCAAAGTTCATAAGAGCTTCAACTCCTTTATAAACATTGAAATAGCACACTATGACAACACTCATTATTAGAATGGCTGCTAAAGCATCTAATTAACTGGGTAATAGTTTGAAGAGAGCCAAGATTGTTAAATTATGTCTGATAAAATAATTTGAAATTTAGATCAGCCTGAATGTAAACTAGGAAGGAAGGTTTCCCAAATTGTGAAGGTTGCCTGGAATAAAAAAAAAAAAAAAATAAATAAAAATGCACAAAGCAGGTCTTGCTTTGCATGTTTTTCATAGGATATTCTATTTTGTTTCTGGGCCCATACTGCTGTCTAAACTCCAATGCTTTACATGTCACAGTGGTTTTATTCAGCTATCTTGCATCTCCTTTGAACTTCATGGTGCTGATCGCTCACTAATATTCATTAACTAACATACTAGGCCCTGCAAAAACAGCTGGTTTTGTCCTGAAATAAATCATATATTACTTTTATAAAAACAATTACAAAAACGATCTATTGCTCTCCTTTACCTTTAAAGATGAGTGTCTTTAAATCACATCAAATTTCAATATCAAATTGAAAATGTTGTTTCAAAGACATTAATCATTTTGTAAAGTACTGCCAGATGAGGAGTTCAAGTAACTTGACAGCAGGTAAATAAAATGGTTAGCTGAAAAGAATGTTGTCCCGTTCAAATATGCAGCAAAAACAATTTAATCCAATGTCAATTTTAAACTGTGTTATGCCGCCATATCTGTCAAATACAAAACATTGAGCAAACAAGGCAACATAAACAAACACCAGAGAGCAAGATTTACCAATCAAGTCTTAAAGTATTTACAATACCTGCTGAGGACGTAGTAGAGGTGGGCAGGCCTTCAGGGTGGGAGCTCTCAGGGCTGAGGAGCCCTGTGAAAACACAGGACGGAGCCCAACCAAGGGGAGACTCCTCAGGCATGTCAGCCTTGACACCAACATGTTTAGGATTTCCCTCTAGCGTTTAATGACCTGAAAAACACACAACAGTTTATACAAGTTTCATAAACACATATATAATTTACATTGTTCTATAAGTTTTAAGGGTTATATTTCGATCGATTCGATTGTTATAACCTATATCATTAAGTTCATTACAATTAACTCCTTAAGTATCTACAAGCTCAGTATGCATTGCAGGGCTAAAAACATTTCCAATCATTTGCTTTGTACGAACATAATAAACTATTATGTTATTACAAAAACAGAACCAAGGGAAAGACACTCTCGAAGATCAGACTCAATTAAATTATAGCCAAAGAAGAATACCTAATTATAAAAATATTTTACGCTTAGTAGAAAAATAAATAACTAATAACGCCAGAGAATATTATTTAACCCAGTTAGCTAGCTAAGGCTTAAGCTGCCTGTGCAAATTCTCAGCCACCTGGCTCACAACAAAAATCGCCATTTTTTTTAATTTTTTTTTTTATGTTCACTCATGAGTCACAACTCTGGCGATTCGCACTAAATAAATCTGTATTTGAAGTCCTGATTTTAAAGCACCTGGACCCCTATTTTCCTTGGAGTCTTTAGCACAAAGCTTGCTTCGTGGTTTGGTAACAACGTTTTTGTAAAAGGCCTGAAACCTCTCAGAGATTAAGAGAGTTGTAATAAAAATTCAAATAAACAACTTAGCATTTATTCCATATAATTTGGTGAAGTAAAAAAGACTGAGATAGTAAGTAAACGCTTCTTACCCAGAGAAACGTCCGAGGTTCACCTTTCCGCTTGAAACTGCGCGAGTCTCTGACGCAACTATTTTGTAACGAGCTTCATCTTCCGGAAGGTTCCAGATGCTGCGTCATCACTGAGCGACAAAATAACTAGGAGTTGTAGTTCAAATAGGACGTAAATCATGCAAGAACAAATTATTAAATATTTTGAAGCATCAAAGTTTGTTTTTCTTACTTGCATTTAATCCAGAAGGATGAATTTGTTACCTAATAAAGCCAACACTTTTTGGGGAAAACAGTATTTTTTTTTTTTTTTTTTTGTAGTTTATTTGTTAGGAACCATGTTCAACTAACAGTAGCCTAAACCAGTGTTACCGTGTCTCGTTTTATTTTGAACCCCTTTGGGCATTTTTTCTTACCATGAGTACCCCTCTCAGTCAAAAGCATTGGTAATTATCCAAAAGTGGAACAAACAAGAACTGGTTATAAAATAAAAAAATATATATATTTTACCAATTTAACTTGAGCATTCAATTTTAAGGCATTTTCTTCTATCAATCTAAAAAAAAAAAAAAATAAATATGTGGCCTGAAAGTAAATAAGGAATCAAAATAAATACAAATATAATAAACCTGTACTTGTAAAATTGTAGTCCCTCTGAGTAACTCCCATATATTCACATATATAGTTGGTGAATTGTGAACAAAATACAGATCGAAAATTATACCCACTGACTTAATTAGTTTTTTTTTTTGTTTTAATCAAGACACTTGAATTTTCTTTGATGAGCTCTGATAGCTCAGCGTGAAAAACAGCTTATACAGGCTGTTCTCTACATCCAGTATATTCCTCTGCTTGGTTTTGATGTGTGTCACAGCTGTAGGTGAACTCAAAAAAAAAAATAATTACCTTTTTAGTTGAGAAAACCTTGTTTAATTTCAAATGGGTCCTCGCAAAACAAAACAGATCCCAGACCTATTTTATTTTACTACCTAAGAAATAAAATATTTTAATGTACCACTTGCAATGCATTCGCGGATGACTATAAGTACATGTACCCTGGGTTGGGAATCACTGGCCTAAGCTATCAGAAAATAATGCAATTCCTCAAGATTTAGGTATTTCTCATTTCTATCTACAGGACAGATGCACACACACTTAAATAAGTTGCTATTCTTCAAAGGTATATAGGCCCATTCCAATCTTATTTATCGGGGCATGCCATAGAAAACCAAGGTACACAGAATGCCATGTGCCAATAGAAATTCTCGGTCATCGGAGTGACACCGACAGGGATGGCAAAAGTACTCACTTTCCATACTTGAGTAAAAGTACAGATACTTGTGTTAAAAAATACTCTG